TTATGAAAATATAGAATATACATTGCTGAATGTGATACCCAGGTACATCTATTTGCATTACAAGCAAACACAGATAATAAAGCATGAACAAAATTAGTCCATGGATCACTAATAGTCGTTTTCTCACTGTTGCGCCTACCACAATACAATCTATAAAGCACTATTGCCAGACACCATTTCTGCCAGTATCGCATGTTACCAGGCAGTGACACAGAATAAAGACGCAAGCGTCAAAACCTGTGGTACTTCAGGGAGTAGGTAACAAGTGGTAACATGCTGAAATGTGACAGTCCACACAAAACCTGCCCAGGTACTGAGAAGGTATAGCTGCCCTGACCTAATTCTACCTCAGGAAGCAATGCGAAGTATTCTATACATATATGTTTGAGATGAAGCTGAACTTCCCAACAGCTTAACTGATCAGATTGCTGTGAATGGAGAATGAGGTGCACATTTTGAACACCATTTTGCAGCAGCCTTTAATGTCTGACTCTCTTGAGTCAGAGATTTAGGAAAAAATAGTGGCAAAGTAGCACAATTAAAAAGTTCCATTACCAAAAAGGGAAATCCTTACCATAAAGGCATGAGAGAACAGACTGAGCTGGTAGGTCTCCATCTTAAATTTCCCTGAAAAGTGAGCTGGCCCAGTTATAGGAACTGAGGTACTTGGCTCTCCATCACTGGGACTGCCGAAAGAAACAGGCTCTTTCTTTCTCAGGTGATAATTTAGTCTAAGTGCAGGAAGTAGGCAGTTGTCAAACAGTTTTGGACTCGTCTCACAAAGGGCCACTGTCCACACTGTGTACTGACAGTGATCCGCAGGTGCACTGTCACTGGAAAGTTAAACCCACTGAGCAGTCCCTAGGTTGAAGTAGCACCTGGGTTAATCTAGTCCAGGTAAGAGCAGCCCCACAGGTCCCTGCCTCTGCACTGACAAGTATGTGTCACTAGGACCTAGGGCTCCCAATTCTTTTCTGCTGCAGAACAATGTACCAATGGACAGTAGGAGCTCTTGCATGGCTTTCTGGAGACATGGACAGGAAGGCTTGCAAAATCTATGCGTTTTTTTCTATCTTAAAAATATCAGGTAAGCAAATAACTGAATGTACCTGGACCTCTATGCAGATATGAACTCCAGCTACGTAATCAAACTCCTTTGAAGCTTCTGACTGTGGTTCATTGCAATTCAAATAAGGAGAGAAAGAAGGTTCCATTACATCACAGATTCATTACAATATTAGCCTTCCGGGTGCATCTGCAGGAAACCACCCCTTACTTTGATAGGCAGTCAAGTCAAATTCATTTAAGAAAGTCAGTGCCCAGGATATAAAAATGATCTGGAGAAAAATAAGGTGATTTATTTTTGTGATAGTTCTGAGTCACAAGTGGTCTGGTAGAAGCCATCAAACTCATTGCATGAAGCATGCCAAGATTTAGATTTAAGATGCCAGAAGTGAAATAGTACACACCTCAGGACTGAGCATAAACCCAAGTCAGTGGGTACTAAATGCCAGGCCCTTTGCAGCCTTCTGTTCCCCAGAATTTCAGGTCTTTATTATCACTGATACAATGACGCCTGTCTGAATTTGCAAAAAGGCTGAAGCTGTGCATCGAAGTTACCATTCATTTTGAGTACTTTTCTATTCAGAGCATGAAACAAAGAGAGTTGTATTACAAATATTAGTGCAAATTAAATCAGATCAGAAAAGAATCTAAGTATCAGTCATATCTTTCTCAAGTCAAAAAAGAACTGAAACACCAAAAGTCCCACTTTGTATGGAAGATAGATCTACAGATAGACAGAAGGCGTGAATTTTTACTTCAAAAGCCTGTTTAATCTACTGAGGGAAAAACTGCATTTTGAGGTGGACAAAATTTGTTCCCTTAGTGCTGCTTGGAAGAGTATTACGCTCCTTGTTTAAAAATGGCAGGTTTTGTAATGCTCAAACTCTGATAAAGAGAGGATGCGGAGAAGCAGCTAATGAAAGAGACTACTTGGATAAAATCGGTTGTATCAAGAAGAGTGAAAGTCTCTCAGGTTTTATTTAGCTAGTTACATTATGCAGGACCTATATTTCTTCAGCACTATATTGTATGTGTATGAACACTGAACTACCGTTTGATTCAGAAATGACCTAAGCACCTGTCATCAGCACAGTAGTTCAATTTCAGCTGACAGAGCACATTTGTCACAGACTAATGCCAAGAAGGGGGTAAAATATACCCAAAATCTCAAACACTAAAACCAGGAAGAACTAAGTAGTGGAAACAGACCATCACCGATTTCGAAACCTGCACAATTAAAATGGCTATTAGGACGAAATCTGAAAAGGATTAATCTGATGTTTCAAATGCATAACGTATCAAACTTTCTGGCACTATACTCCACTAATTTCATTAGAAGTAAGTGCTAGTCAACACCCTTATACGTCATACATTGTAAACTTCGAATAAGACGACTTCATCCATATTTCTAAACAGTAGTGCAGACAATGTATATACACTTCACAAAGTGTTCGTGAGAATATTTTTTTGAAAGTTCTTTACAGAAATCCTACTCTATGTAACTTAATTTGGATATGTCATATATACTGACACAGAGTGATAGGCAAGCTCTAGGATGACTTGATACACAGAAACTCTCTCCTTGTCATTTGTAGTTAACAACTCAGATTTGAGTTGTAATTTTTGCATTTAGGTGTTTATACAAAATTACTTCTTCCACAAGTCATTCCAAAACTGTGCATTTTGATGTCTGCTTCTTCTATTCAATAATAAAAAAAATTCTAGGCAATAAAGAAAAAAAAAATTGTTTATTGTACATGATGCCGAAATGCCAAAGGTGGACAATCTACATTAATTCCTGCTCTATGAGAATTTGTCATAACAGGAATGAATTCCAAAAGAACTTCAACCAAAACTGAATGAAACCTCATACATATTTGCTAGCAAATGTACCCTGCATTTTCATCATGCCAATTACAGCATATTGCTCTTTCTATTTTAATCCTTTCTTAATGGGCAAGCTTATCTTCCCATTATTCAGGGAACTTTTTTGTTCATGCTTCAGCAATTGCATGACAACTGATTAGCAAATCGGGGAACTACTCTTTGACAGTTCTCTTAGAATAGCACAAACAGAGTTCTCAACACAGAAGACACTGGGACCCTAATTTCTGTCTTAACTAGATTAAAGTCCAGATACGGTGAACAGTAGCTAATCATCTAACACAGTTGATGAATACATCTTTTTTTCATCCTAGGCCTCAAACATAGTATCCACTGAGATATACGTGATGCCAACACTTTATCAGTCTGGCATGGCTTAAGAGCATATTTCCTACACTTTTTAGGTCTGTGGTTACTATCTAATCTTCCCTACAAAAAGTATCGAATACTGGAACTGGAGATGTGGCTCTTCTAGCAGGTCAGTACATGGCACTGCTGAATACAAAATATATAAGGTGATTTCAGCTGATTTCCAGGCGGAGCGTTACAAACCACCATGTACAGTCATTAGCCTCTATACAAGAGAGGCCCAAGACTGAGCTAGCACGAATACCAAATTACTTACCACCTCTAGACAGGGTGGTCGCTCCAAGCCAGGGTTGAGCTCATGGGCAAGGCTGTGCAAGGAAGCTGTCTGTACAATGCCTGGCCTGCGGATATACAGAGGACTTCAGTCTCCTGTACTGTCAATCTCAGTCAGCATGAGCTCAAATATTCACCAAAAATATAAGGGGCAAATTCTGCCCTCAGATGCCATCTGTTCAATGGAAACCATATACGCATTCAGCCAAAGAGGATCTGACCCTAAGAATTCGTTAAGCAGCGAGCCCACCTAAGCAGAGGACCATTGTGCTCTAAAAGTCTGTGACGTTTAACATCTGCTTCAAAACTGATACAAATCAGATTCTCATTTGAAATTCTTAAATCAAGCAACTGTATTTTGTAACTCTGTAAAGGTGAGAATTCATAATCTCAAGTCAGATTTTTCATTACATGAATATTTTAAAACCAGGAATGAAATAAGAATGAAATTAATGTAAGACACTTCATGACACCACCTTAACCCTGGAAGCTGCAGTGAACATACTTCAAATGCATAACCCTGTTAAAATGCATATATCTTTGTAAATTTTGTGCAGCCTATCACCTGTTTTGTTAGAAGGCTTTTCATCAGACTAAGAGCCTCAGCTTTAGCCTACTCTCGTTTCAGATCCTAGGCAAGTACAATTCCTGCACTACCAGATTTCCAAACCTCCACAGTATCCGAAGAATCTCAACGTATCTCCTTCAGCTACAAATCAGAACATTTTCTTGGAATTGTGCTTTTAACTCACTGCAGAGTAGATGAGAGTTGATTCCCAATAATGATATCTTTGAAGAATATTCAGAATAAATGTATACATAAGTAAATGCACGCATCCACATCCATTTCCAAGGTTGCCATTTATGAGGACTGTTTGTTTATATGGTTGACAGCAAAACAATAACCTCCTCATTTTCATCAAGAGCTCAAGCACAAGCGCAGAATGATTTACCTTACAGATTAATGCACAGGAAGGCACAGAAGACTTTCAATTAAATAATTTATTTTTATTTTAATCATACTGCATATATAAGAGACATATAAAAATGTAACCATTCTCCTCACCTGGATTTTCTGGATAAGTTAATTATCAGCTAGCTGTAAGGTATACATACCAGAATGAGGAATTCTGCCTTTCTTCACAACTTTCTTTTTTCTGCCCTGACTTAACACATATGCAAGTGCACACACACATATGCGCACACACACATACATGCATTGTATATTCATTTAGATGACATTTCAGGCTCAGGCGAGGACTGAAACCGCTCTAAAACAGAAAACCCACCAGAATCTTCAAAACTGAGCCTTCTCAGAACAGACTGACACCTAACAGTCTGAGCACCACAGCACAGCCTAACATGAATTCCATTTGTAAGAGAAGGCCAAATCAAAATATATTACTTACATGTATGAGTCTTCTTTGTTACAGAAATACCTGTAGGGAAGAAATGATATCAATGTTAGCAAAGCAACCACTGAATAAATTCTTTTGACATGTATTTCATCATTAAACTACTTTAATGCAGACACACGGCAGCCACTATAAAAGAATTAAAATTTCAACGATTCATACATTAGAGGTGGAAGGATCTCCCTTCTTTGCATGCAGACTTTAATGATATATTCTCTCCTTACACCTCATCAATAAATGTTTCAACATGTATTGCTTAAATTTTGTTGTTGGAATGCCTATCTACATGCTGCTGGTTTGAAACGAAAGCTGATGCAAACACAAGATACCAACACCACTATGGAAGCCCCCTTTTATTTTCCATGGTTAAAAATTTTCCCACGCTCATATTAACTAGTGCACATCAAACTACCCAGACAGAACAGATTTGAGCAGTACAACAATTCATTTGCTATGTTATGAAGTTCACGTAGTTCCCTGACTGCAAGCTGCAGCTTATGCTCATTAAAACCAAATGAACAGCTCTCTCAATATGAGTATTACTTGCCATAATTCCAAGCCAGATGCAAATATCTCCAAGCTGTTAAACATATACTTTCTGAAGTAATAAAGATGTTTTTATGCTAGACAGGCATGTGGTGGCAATCACCAACAATGGTCCAGTGCCAGTGAAATTTGAGAGGCATTTTAAAGAAAGCAACAGAGTGAACAGAATGAGGCAAAATTCATAATACCAAATGAAGATAAAATTAACTCTGTTAAATGTCATTGGAATTCATGCTTGAATACAAACAATATTGTCTCTACTTTAGTAGATAACTGGTGCTGTACTCGGACCCCTCAGTATTTAAGCTTCACTCTCCTTGGGGGGAATTTTATGAGAGGAGAAAGAGGTTACTGGAAGCAGTACAAGTATTTGAAACATTTCATTTGTGATTAAGGCCTGTAATGAAATTTTGCAATTGTTTGGCTTACTATTCATGAAAGACAGAGACACCTGAATCTCCTCAGCTACCCTCCTATTCCTTTAACCACTTCTTCCAAAAACAAATTACTATGGAAAAAATAGGCTTTTATTTCAGGCTTCTTTGTTGTGGAACATCTCAGGGAGGCAGTAGGTTTAATAACTCAAAAAAATATAGATGACTTATTTGCAAATTTAGAGCTAACTTCCAAAGCCAAAAGTTTTCAAACTCTTCATGTTTTTGGTAGATATATAAATTCACAATGTCAACCCCAAATATGTAGCTATCAAGTTTGACATAAATGTCATGAGTTTTTTTTTTTTCAATTGCACTTGTGTTGCTATTGGCCTTTTGGTTTTGAACCACCGAGTTCTACAAGTGTGAGCACTTGAACCTTTCTTTTCCCTGAAAAGAAAAGCTGAGAGACTCCAGGCTTTGGGAAGAGAAGTTCTGAGCAGTTCCTTTCAGTAATTTTGTAAGTGTGAGACAGTGGTAAGCAATTTACAAAAATCAGAATACTAGAACTTGATTATGTCCGTGTACTGACTTAAATTGAAAGGTCCTGGCCAAACCTGCACATTCCTCACACTAGAAATTAGGGTTGTAGCCTCAAACCATAGAGCCAGGGTAAGCAATAAGAACAAAAGGAAAACAAGAATAACAAAAATAAAACCTTTTAGTTACATAAGTAGCTACTACAGGGGGCAAATTCATCGTCAAAATTCATATTTTGTATGAGCCAGATTTCTCAGATTTTCATTCCAGTCCCATTGTTACTGGTTGGCTCAGAGTAGGTGGACAGGACAGGACAGCTGCCTGTGTCAGGGAGGTGGGCGTTACTATAGGAATGATAGCTTAGAGCAAGAAGAGGGGCAGAGTGAGAAGCAGCAGACAGATCTGAAGTATCTCCATCAAAATGCACGAACAATACCTTGTGCACTCTTTGGTATGAGTGCAAAAACCCCTCTCTCTAGGCGTTTCAAAGGTCTGCCTTGCCTATTGAATTTGAAATTCCAGCTCTGTTAGAACATTTGTTCTTCCACCAAGGAAGAGCATTTTTGCTGCTGTTTGACTTCTTGAGTGAGCACTGAACAGCATGTACAGCTCCTGACAGAGTCTTCATCATCACGAACTGTCCTAACATTCCCTTGGCAAAACTACTCACCCCGCCCTTGCCTATCTGGCCAGCTCCTACAATTTTAAGGATGTTTTACGGAATGGGAAATGCAGAGAAAAAGGTCTTAAATCTGAACATCATTTGCAAAACTTCCTCTCCCAACACTAGTGCAAATAAATGGATACATCAGTGCTCTTTCAGCATTATGGGAGCCATATGTGTACTTTTCTCAGAAAATAATGCTTTCTGTAAAATCACTTTGAACAGAAAGTGCTTATGCTGTCACTTCTGATTACTCACAGTCTCTTCACAATGGGATTTGCCACAGCACAAAACAGACTTAGCTGTATTCGCTGACTGAGGGCCTACTTTCCCCTGCTACATGAAACAGTGATGGAAATATTAGTGCTTATATTTTTCAACCTAATTTTTTTTTGTATGAGTGGTGGGTTTTTCCAATCAGATGTTTCCATAATAATTACCGATTACCATCTGGTACGGCCTTTTAGCTGTTTTATGCAGATATTTTTAGATAACCTTTTAAAACAACAGCTTAGAGGTAGGCTTTTTTGCATCTTCTTCATAATTACACTGGTAGTTGCAGTGAAACCGAAGTATTTTGCTTGAACTGTGGTTTTACAGTGACTAACTGCAATCTGGTGGAACAAGGATAAACGTTGTCAGTGAGTTCAACAAGATTAGATTTAAATTAAACAGGGATCTTTACTTACGTTAAAATGAGTTGTGAATTTTTAAGAAGCCTTCCCTTTCACACCAGTAACTGTAAGTGACTAGAAAAACTGAGCAAAAAACGTATCAGCATATCCAAACAGTTACTTAGGTTAGATGCATTATAAGTAGCGCTTTAAATATAAATATTAAGTATGCAATACCTTCCTACATCATTGCAATCAGTTTTAGTTTTAATGCAGGAAGCCGACGACTCTGCTATTCAGAACATTCAAGAAGTATAACAATCTCCTAGAAATGAGTGTATTATGAAAAAAAAAATCAGTCTGAAAACTACTTAATGTAGAAAAGGGGAGTTACAAGACGCTTGGCTTTCTTTGGGTCAGCACTAACTCCCACTTGCATATACGTTTGAATGCCTTTCCTATGAGCCGCATCCTAGAAGTCTAACACAGACAACTCATCAGTTCTTTTGAAATCAACAGGATCTCTTGAGAAACTAATTCTGCAAGTCCAACATATATCAGTAATTTTCTTCACAAGATTAGGCATGATTAACTGGGGTTGCTCTCATTTGTAAATATTTCTGGGACTGGACCATCAGTTTACGTAATTTGAGTAGGCACTATATAATAAAACCTAAACCTAATACGCCACTGAAAGACAATGATTTATTTACTTTTAATAAGTGGACCACAAAGAACCTACTGATTGCTTTCAAAATGTTACTTAATGTAAAATCCCATTTTTTAATGGGCTTCATTTTAAAATGTGATAGACTGGAGTAATATGTGACCACTTACTACTATTAGCACTATCCTAAACAGCCAGCTTTCCATTCTTATTTAACAAATAAAAAAAAAAAAATGAAGAGAGGAAGAAACAACTCTAACTTCAGTGTTGCTAATACAGAAAGACTTCCTGACTTAACCAACTAGACTTCAAAGTAAAGCAAAGGAAATGTCATGAAAATACCACAATATATCACTGCCATGGTTATCAGTGAGTGAAAGTTTCAGTATTACAGTTATCACAGAATTTATCACTTCAGCAGTGCAATTTGACATTCCTGATCAACACCAAATCTTAAACAAATTAACTTCTTAGACTTTTCATCGTTGCTATGTGATGCTCTTTGCAACAACAATCGATTTTTTTAAATGAAAAGAATTCATACACCATTCCCTTTCCCCCTCCCACTAACAATATGTAATTTGCCATGATGGGTGGTATTTACAAAAATAGCTTTCTGGATGCAATGAACTTTGAAAAGAATATCTACCAACAGAGACAGGATATTCTTTTGCAAGTGGTTAGCCTGACTGACCTTCACCAGCCAACTTCAAATAGAGATAACAATGTCTTCAAGTACAAAAAGAGACTCGGATATTTTATACATCATAAGCTATTTCTCACAGTTGCCTATCCAAATAAAGAAGCATAATGAAACACTGCTTACTCTGTGAACCCAGATCCCTGCTGCTGTTGTACAGTTGTCAACTTCCCATATTTCAAGGGGAAAACATACTTTGATGTACAGAAAGATAAGTAAAAAGTCCCCTGTCTGGCAGAATACATTACTCTGCAAAATATCAAAGGAGGATATTCTTGAGTGCAATTTTCTTAAACCTCCAAGAAAACTCCTCCTCAGAAGTTTGTATGGATAAACACGTGCATCACTGTCAAAGCCCATAACTAATCTCCAGGACTTTTGTTAAGCACCATTGCGTTCCCTTTGCTTTGCTTTTTGTGCCAAAGTCAGGTGATTAACATTGGTCTGATGACAGTATATCTATGTAGATATTATACGTACATGATGCTTTGCTCATGTGGGTGTGTGCATCAATGTTGGCCAAGCCAGCATAATGGCTTTAGCATGTTTTGGAACTTAGTCATTTTATGATGAATTGGAAATCTTGGGGGAAAAAAAAAAGTTAAAATTTTAAAGTCTAAGCCTCCTGCCTGACCTTTTGTGTAAAATCAGAAAGAAAACATATTACAAGCTTGGATCCCACTGTGTTTCATCCTGTCACTCTGCTGCTTTTTTACTCTGTCACTACACAAAGCTAGCAATTAAGGTGGAAGATTATAAGTAACACTCGGGCACTTGCAGAGAACCTACCAAAGCAGAATAATAGATTTGAGTGCATTTAGAAAGCAGTTAATTATTTTAGAAACTTTAATAATGGTTTATATTAAAGTCTGTAAGGATCTCTGGCTTGAAGGAATTTTGTGATCTTTGTAGGCCATTG